GGGGGGAGAGGGTGGGTTTGCATGCCCCTGTAGCACCAGAGGTCGCAACCGGGCACCCGATACCCGTACCCTACCCGATACCCGTACCACCCTACCCGATACCCTACCCGATACCCGTACCCTACCCGATACCCGTACCCTACCCGATACCCTACCCGATACCCGTACCCTACCCGATACCCGGCTACCTGTACCCGGCCGGGTTTACGACCCTGGTGAGGCCGGGTACGGGTAGGCCGTGAGTCACCGGTGAGTCACCGTTTGTCACTCATTTCCCAACGTCTTGTCTCTTCTCACAATTCAAGTTCCTAGAATCAACCCACCCGCGCCTGCAACATGGCTTCATGCCAGAGGTCGCAATCGGGTACCCGGCCATACCCGTACCCTACCCGTTACCCGGCCGGGTACGGGTAGGGTACGGGTACGGCCGGGTACGGGTACGGGTACCCGTTTGCGACCCTGGTGCGGCCGGGTACGGGTAAAGAATCTAAACCCGTTTGCGACCTCTGCTGTGGCACCCATCACGCCACGGGGCGCTACTTGACCGTTGGAGAGCCAAGCACGCGACAAAGATAAAGATCCCCCGTGTAGCCTTAACAGACTGTAGGGGCAAGTGCTGTTAGCGAGCACCTATGAAGGCCGGAACGGTACACGAGCGGGTGGGTGGCCAGCACCACGCCCGAAAGCAAGCGACCACACACAAACCCACAGACAAACCCACAATTTTTGACTTTTATATATAGAAAGATATATATATATATATAGAAGATAGATTAAGAACATTGCGAGAGAGATGGGTGCCTATGTATTGGGGAAACTGCGAACGTTTTCTCGTAGTGCATTGTTGGTAATGATTGTAGGCGGTGGGGCAGCTGTCCTCCCGGAGCTTGTTGAAAACGGTTCCTTGTCTTTGCTGGTATTCGATGTTAGACACATCCTGCTGTAGGCATCTGCAAATATTCATAATCAACGTTTTTGGGTGTTAGATCGCGTTATTTATAAATGTGTCGTAACCCTCCACCACCCGACACGGCCAATCAGTCAAAAAGTGTCACGTTGACAAAAGACAATTTAGTTCACTGCTTTAGCCCACCGGTGTGTTGAAGTGCGAAACGCCATTCTGGCGAATTGCCCGATGATGCTGGATGCAATTACCAGCGAAACGTCGTACAACTCAAATTGTAAATGTTGTGGTTTCACGCTTCAACACACCGGTGGGCTAAAGCAGTGAACTAAATTGTCTTTTGTCAACGTGACACTTTTTTACTGATTGGCCGTGTCGGGTGGTGGAGGGTTACGACACATTTATAAATAACGCGGCGATCTAAACCCAAAAACGTTGATTATGAATAATATTGGTCGCGAAAGCCTGCCACGTGTTAAACTGATCTGCAAATATGTTGACGATGACCTGGAGGTCAGCTTCTGAGCAAGCACTGACTTGGGCATTAGCGCCATATTGGAATTCAATAACGGATGTG